CTGCTGCAGTTAAAGCCTTGCTGTCATTTCTCTTTCTTATTTTATTATCGACTCCCATATTGTATTTATTTCTATGCTAGGCCCACTAAGGAAATCTTCATGGCCCAATATATTAACCGATTCTTTCAGATGTCTTACTCTCCAGTGTTTTCCTTGTTCAGTAGTTTCACTTCATTCCACAGAGTCTGATGATTACCCCTTTGCCTCTATACACGTTCAACCATGCCCGATTTAATTGTGTCACCCCCTCACTAAGACATTTTTATGTTCCCACAGGCTTAATTTTAGGAGATGGCTTGTTTCAGCTTTATATTCTTGACCACGAATGTAAGGAATCGAGTACACGCAATTCTTGTTCTTTCTCGTGTTAGGCTTTACACGGAAAGGAGTTCTCCGTAGAGTGGAACTGCTTCTGAATCCAGGACATACGGAAGACAGACTTTGACAATTTTATAGTCTTCCTCCTTGACCCTTATCTCTCCACCTGTAGACGCTGATGTTATATTTGTCGGGTTGCTGTTATTCTGAAGGGTACATTTGATGCTGATCATTTCCTGTCTTCTTCGTCACTTATGATTTTCTAGATGTTGTAGACATCGAACGATCCCTTTCTTCACATTGTATGGATGATGGGAATTGAAGTTGAGGTATTATCCAATGAAGGTAGGCTTGTTATATACGGATATTATGAACCCATTCTCTTCCGAGGTATTAGTACATCTAGAAAACCTAGCTGATTATTATTTTGTTCTTCCCTGCGAAGATCATATTGAGTTCACACGGTCCAGCAGATTTTGTAAAGCCTCCTGGTACGGCCAGAATGTGAAGGTGTCAGCTGCGTATCTCAACAATACTGTTGGCTTCAGTGGCATCTTCCATAAAGCCATTCCCTCAAAATATCCTATGTATATGTTTTCTATCATTGGTAACAACGGTGAACCCATATCTTCTTGTCTTATGTTCTTTTTGCGGGGTTAGATCCTATTATGCAAAATAGATTTGTATTTATAAAGTGCTGAAACATATTTTAGGGAAATAAATATGCAATTAAGACAAAATAGCAGTTTATTATTTTTATCAGTTTAATATGCTATAACCATGTTATTTTATAATCGTCTGAAAGTTCATTAAAATCAATGAACTTTCAGACGATTATAAAATAACATGGTTTCCACTGTTTAGAATTTAGCAATAGTTCCAGGTGATAGTATTGCGTATCTGAAATTATCTTTGCTTGCATCTCTTTTAATGGTGGGCCACACATTTTCTATTTGGATTGATATCGGGTGGGGAGGATGTAAGCCTTTTCGTTAATGTGGTGTCTTTGACACAATTTTTGGCTCAGTGAGCAATAATCAGCTTTGTGGAATTTGAAGAAGCATTGATATGTATGAATAGAGTCTTTAGATTAAAGCTTCTTGGTTGTCACACGTACCACTCAAAAATGTCTTGTCTAAGAATATACAATAAATCTCTACATTTATTTTGACAGCTCCATCAACTTTGAAAGAATCAATACTTTTACCTCCTATCGTACGATCACAAACTATTATTGTGTTTATCTTTTTTTAAGTAATGTCGTTTTATTCTTACCATGGCAATTTTCTATGCGGAGCTCAGATGTGGCACAAGACCGGATGTATGGGGTTTGTTTTTTAGTTTCGTTTGGTTTATTTTACCGCATATGAACCACAATGGGTTATTTAATGCCGACAAAATTTCCTTTTTTTTTTTTCAAAAATGTATAGCTAGTAATATTTTTTTAAAAATGTATAGTTTGGACTGTTTTGTGGCATATCCTAATCATTCTAACCTATCTAATGGTCCCGTTTCGAAATAAAAATCAGAAAAAGGGGAAAATTGAATGTCTTTGGCTAGATGCGAAAGTGTCTCGTCAGTATTCTCATGATTCTACCCTCAATGGGTTATTTAATGCTGACAAGATTTTTATTTCTGCTAATATTCAAATATTTATTGCTGGTACTAATATTTTTTTTAAGTATTTCTCGTAATAAAATTTATATTTAAACTGTCATAGTGTTTTGAGTAAGGTTGTGCGGTCAACTATTTGCCCATAGCTTGGACCCTAACAGGTGCTACCACCCCGGGTCAGGGTAGACCTGGGAACACTAGCAATTAAGAGGTGGTTCCACGCTTCTCAAGATCTCCTGATCAGAGGTCTTGCTGCTGGATGTAGTTTATCGTCTTACCCAGGACGCGGATGTAGTTTGTCGTCATACCCAGGACGGGGATGTATTGAGTACCCTGTGAGAATCGAAACGATCTAGTGAGACAAGCTTGTTAACCATTACACCACGTCGGATTGCCTCCGTTTTATTCTTCGCATGAATCAACGAACCTGTAGCTCAATAATTAAACTCATCAAATGTAGGTATATATTCATCAGTAAATTCTAGTTTAGAATTTGCTAAGAATTTTTCTTCAGTCATATAATAAGTGGAATAGTTTTATATGGTCAGAAAAAAAAATTAAGCAGTTAAGATATAAGAAGCAACATTATATTTGAGCCAAAACGCACCCAAGACACAATATAAAAATATTAATCCGGTAGAATATTTGTGAAAAAATCGTATAGGGTTAAAAGGAATATACAAGAAAATTTGGCGTGATTGAGAGGTGAAGTCAATTCCTTAAAATATCAGTCCATTTCTTTAAATAAATTTTTAATTTCTATTATCTAGCTTAGATTTTATAGGCGATTCTTCCAAAATACAGATTCTTCCCAAATAATAACAAAAAGGTTTAAACAAAAAATAATGTTATCAGAACGGAATGGCGTTCTCAATAACCTAACCTAAATACAATGAAACATTTGTGTCTTGAATTATTGTTCTTAAAAGGACGTCATTCATTTTGTATGCTTTCGAAACATTCTCTACGAAAGAATAATCGACAATACCAGTCAAAATAAGCAGAAACCTTATCAAAACTACGGCAAAAAAGCTTATCAGCCGCGAGTTTCCTGAAATAATATTAATTGTTATACAGATTTTATCGACACAGATAATAAAATAGCTGAGTCGAGTTCAATTTCCGACTTCGTCAGTGCTTTTCACTTTCCAAAGAACGTCCTTCATGGCTATCAGGACAATAGCAGGATAGACTGGGATCTCTAACTTTAGTTTAAATCAGCCTAGAACCAAGAATCTGAATTCAAAAGAATGGAGACTTCAAAGTGAAACCACTCTACTACATTTCTCCAATAATGTATGGCAGTTCACAGCTAAAAATGCATCGAGGGTATACGGAGTGACATGAAATGACCTGGCATTAAAAATATATTTATTCTGTATTATTTATTATGAATACATATGAATTTATGAATACTATGAAAATATTAATTATTTCTTATTTATCATGAATTTCCTTCTATCAGTGTGGCTGATGCTAACCTCCAGGACATCAATTCATTGCGATTTCTTAGTTTTACGTTTAACGCTGTCAAGGTGTAGAGTGATTATATTGAATCAACTGATAGGTCTGCAGCTAAGAAGTTTGGTTCATCAGAAACTTTTTCCCGTCAGATTCCATCTTGCATATTTATACACTATCATTCGTACGTACATTGAACTTTACTGGCAGATGTAGTCTGAAGCCCCTGTTATATATTTCGGATATCTGGACAAAATCAAGAAAAGAGTCTATAATGTAACCAGCCCTGACTTGGCATCTCAACTTCAGTCACTTTCCCACTGAGATGACCTGGCTTCCCATTGTCTTTTCTTTAAATATCTTCATGGCGGTTGTTCTAATGAACTTTTTTGCTTGGTACCTTGACCGTGTGAATCTAAACGTACTATTAGTTTAGCAATTATGTCTCATCGTGAAACTGTTGAAATAGCTATTCTGTTCTAATAGATTCCTCTCTCGCACTTCTCACCGGTGGAAGTCCCTTCCGATGTCTTTCTTTCCACTCACCTAGTATCTTCAAAAATTTAAATGCAACGCCCATAGTCATCATCTCTCTTCTTGAAACCTTCTCTTTTATTGACTTTTACCTTCATTAATTCCACTCAGAATAACCATTTGCGTCTTAGTGGAAATATCGCCTAGCTTGGGGTGAAATGATTAATCAAATAATTCACTTATGAAACTGTTTTGCCAAATATCATGAAATCACATTTGAAATATTTGACGTGAATAAATAATGAAAATAATTTGTCAGATATTCTTTCTTAGATAGATAGATAGATACATAGATAGATAGATAGATTGATGAACAAAACTGTGGTATATATTTAACATGCTTAATTTTCATCATTGACGATTCGCAAGTAAAACAAGCGATTAAAAAGCGACTTGAATAGGTGAATAATAAGGACACTCCATTTTGGCCGGGAATGCTTCGGAAAAAAGAAAGATACCTGAAGATAATGATAATAAAAAGATATAATGTTATAATGTTTGATAAACAAAGCTGAGTTGCGCATGTGTAAAGCAAAAACACATGACTCGGAGTAGAATATCGATCGTCGGCATAAAAAGGAAGAATGATATTACTGTAAAAACATTTCAGATCGATAAATGCGTTGAATAATGACGTTCTTAAAAGAAGCAAGAAGAGGTCGAGCCATAAAATGGGGTGGATGGCTCGTAAAAATCACGGAAAAAAAACTAACGAAAGGTGAAACAAATATTGCAAGGTCGGATTGAATTGAACCAAGAAAAAAAAGACAAACAAAAACAAAGGAAAGGTTTACGGAAAAAGAAGAATATGGAGTGAAAGAAGAAGAGAAACACGCCTTGTGAATTTGGTAGTGATCGGGTCGAAAGATTGTGAGGCGAAAAAAAGAACAATTGGAAATTACTGAAAGCTGATTGATTCAACGAAAGACTCAGCACTTTGAAGCATCGAAATATCATTTTTATTTCTGTGTTTTCTTCCTATGCATAACGTGCTATCTACTTTAATAACGATTCAACTACCGATTCTTCCGGATGAGTCACCTTTTAATCTAATAATGTGCGTCTTGGATTATAGCCATATCACGTTCAAACCCCGGTTCTCGTAAGATCACAGAAGTTAAGCATCGTGGGACCTGGTCAGTACCAAAATGAGTGACCACCGGACAATACCAGTTGCTGTAATCATGGAAGTGCTGGTGATTTTATGGATAACGAATCGGTATTGGAAACAGGAGAACCGAGTTCCAATTCCAGTCGGGTTCGTTATATTCGCTTAAGCGCAAAAACGCTTGGAAAAAGTATGAATCCACCATTTCCCCCCGAGCTATGGGTTAATTAGTAGGACTAGTATCATTAAAAATAATTATTATACTCTAAACATTCTTAAAATTTAAAAATAGTTTATGGCTTTAAATAACCTGCATAAATTTGATCCGCCGTAAAAACAAATCAATCAAAAAATTATTGTCTCTATTTCTGAGATGAGGTATTATGTACATTATTTACATTATTCGGACTATTGTCCTCATCTTTGTCGCCATATTTATCACAATGTTTCGGCCGTTGTACGCTCCGGCTCCGGCCTTCTTCAGGTGGTTGGAATGTCGAACTGAACCCTTTATTTCGCTCACTGGGGTAGACTCTTCTAGCTCCACGTGCCATGTTTGATGGATGTCAGCTATCAGTTATCTCCTGTTAATTTTCCATCTGAAAGTTCTTGAGGACATATGGCACAGTGGATAAAGGCGTTGGTTAGATCCACTGACAAGACCCAAAGAGTGTGATTTCACATACCCGGTTAAGGCAGTGGAGAACTTTTATATATACAGTAGCGTCCAAAACTAAGGGACGAAATTTTAAAACCTAATATTTGTTAGAAATAACAACTGTGAAAAGCTGAAATTTTGACAACTGGTAGTCGTTATCATCCATAATAACATACTAAAATTTTGAATCATTTGCAAAGGATAGAAAAAGAATTATAACAATTATTTATTTATTTTCAAATATGGAACGTCCAAAAGTAAGGGACAAAATTGAGAAAAACAATGTAAACGGCAAAAAAACAATAAAAATACATGTACAATCAATATTTGTAAATGAGCCCTTGCTCTCAATGACAGCTGCACATCTTCGACTACAAGAACGAATCAGTTCTTGACAATCCTCGATACTAATTTTAGACCATTCTTCTTGAAGCTTCACCCACAAATCCTCCGTATTAGTGGGATTTCTTTCCATAACTTTCACTCCTAAGGTCTTCCAAAGATTTTCTATTGGATTTAAGTCAGGACTTTGCGGTGGCCAATCCATAATTTCCAAATCTTGCTCGCTAAGGTAACTCATTACCACCTTTGCCTTGTGACATGGGGCATTATCTTGCATAAAGGTAGCCCTATTGAAACCTGAATTCTGTATGATTGGCACAACATGATCTTGAACAATGTTTTTATAGATCTGCACGTTTACACGAGTTTGTAACCGGACAACAGGCGTTGTACCTTGGCTAGAAAAACATTCCAAATACCATGACGCTTCCGCCCCAAACTTGACAGTTTTCTTAGTACACTTTGCACTTAATCTTTCACCAAATACGTCTCTTTACATTGTTTTTTCCATCATTTCCAAATAAATTAAACTTGCTTTTATCACTGAAAATACTTTTTTGCCCAATTTTCATATGTCCAAATTACATACCTGTTTGCAAACTCTAATCTCTTCTTCTTATTCTTCGAACTAACAAGTGGTTTCTTCCCTGGGGTTCGATTAAACAGCCCTATTTCTTGCAGTCGTCCACAAACAGTCTGTCTTGACACATTAACACATGAGGTACTATTCATAACCCTTTTAATTTCTGTGCAAGACTTAAAACGGTCCTTTTTATGACATACGCAGCATTATTCGATCTTCTCTTGCAGAAGTTTTGCGGGATCTGCCGGTTTTAAAAGCACTAACTATTTTGCCAGTATCATTGTTGGATTTAACAACCCTGCCTACAACACTCTTGGAACGTTTCACTTTCTCTGAAATCTCTCTAATGGTGTGCTTTTCCTTGTGTAGCTTCACAATAGCTTGTCTCACAGAGTAATCAAGTTTTTGGCGTTTCGCCATGGTGCCGGCTGATGCAACGTTTACAAATGACTAAGTAAGACTTATTCTTTAGAGGAAATCAAAAAATTTGAATATAGCATACTGTTTACATTGTTTTTCTCAATTTTGTCCCTTACTTTTGGACGATCCTATTTTGAAAATAAATAAATAATTATTATAATTCTTTTTCTATCCTTTGCAAATGATTCAAATTTTAGTATGTTATTATGGATGATAACGACTACCAGTTGTCAAAATTTCAGCTTTTCACAGTTGTTATTTCTAAGAAATATTAGGTTTTAAAATTTTGTCCCTTAGTTTTGGACGCTACTGTATATATATAGCTTCCTCTCCCTGGACACCGAGTCATGGCCAAGCTAAACAAGTGCGTCTGGAACAACAGCCAGATGACGGAGGACACCAAACTACAAGTCTACCGGGCCTGCGTCCTCAGCACCCTTCTGTACAGCAGCGAGTCCTGGACAACTTACGCCAGTCAGAAGAAGAGGTTAAACACCTTTCACCTGCCGCTGCCTCAGACGTCTCCTGCACATTAAGTGGCAAGACTGGGTCACTAACACAGAGGTTCTCCA